ATACTATATACTATATACTACATACTACATACTATATACTATACTATACACTATATACTATACTATATACTATATACTATATACTATATACTATATACTATATACTATATACTATATACTATACCATACTTTATACTCCATACTTTATACTATGCACTATACTATATACTATGCTATACTATAGTATGATGGTATAGTCATATATACATCATACTATACTATACTATACCATCAAAGACAATCTAGGGTTTGTACTAACACTTTCCTTACTAGTCTCACTAGCCCTATTCTCCCCCAGCCTCCCAGGTGACCCAGAAACCTTTACACCAGCTAACCCATCAGTCACTGCCCTCACATCAAACCTGAGTGATGCACAGCCCCCCACCAGTCACTGCCCTCCCATCAAACCTGAGTGATGCACAGCCCCTCCTGTGCACCAGGGCACAGCCCCAGCAGCAGCAGCCCCTGCTGGGGCAATCCCAGAGAGCCTTGGCCAGGCAGGAGTCCCCAGGTGGGTCCTGGTGGGATTGTTGTGCCCAGCTGGGCAAACCCTGCTCCTGCTGAGAGCCACGAGCAGCACCTGGCCCAGCCCTGCCCCACTGAGGGACCCCAAACCTGGCTGTGTCTGACCCCTGCACCCCCAGGGGGGGATTTTGGGGGAGTTCTGTGGGTGCTGCACAGCTGGGGACACAGAGAGCCACAGGATCCCAGAGCTGGTCAGGCTGGGAAAGCCCAGCAAGGTCATTGAGCCTCACTGCACATGTCCCCAGGTGGCACATCTGCAGGGCTGTGAAATCCCCCCAGGGATGGGGGCTGCAGCCCTGCCCTGGGCAGCTGTGCCAGGGCTGCACAATGAGGAATTTCCCCAATATTTAACTTAAACTTGCCCTGGTACCACTTGAGGCCGTTTCCTCTTGTCCTGTCTGGGGAGAAGAAACCAAAACCCACCCAGACCCTCCTTGAGGGGGCAGGAAGGTCCCTTCTGATGCCCTTGGTGGGTCCCAGGTGGGCTGGGGGTTCCTGGCTCCCAGCCTTGTGCTCAGGGCACTCAGAAGGCACCTGCAGAGTCCTCTGAAATGGATAAATACAGTGATTTCAGCTTTTGATTGAAGTATTGCTCTCTCTAAGCTGGGGTCTCATCTGTCAAAGCCGGGGCACTCAGCAGCTCCTCTGGTTCGTGTTTGGATCCAAAATCCACGAGGAATTCCCAGAGCAGCAAATCCCAGTGGGCAGGGCAGTCAGAGCATGAGCTCCAGCACCAAACAGTGAAGGTTTGCTATAGAAAATATGGAGAAAATTGCATCAGGAGGAATAATTAATCACTGAGAAAAACTTACCCAGGGTTGTTGCACATTCTCCACAACTCACCTTTTAAAAATCAATGTTCTAAGCTGTGTCCACACCCAGAGAGAGTTTGGTGGAGCCCTCAGGCTGTTTTATTCCAGGGATTGGGAATGGTGGGCTCAGTGTTTCATAGGGAGTGGCTGAAGCAATCCCAAACCTGTGGAAAGGCAGCTCCAGGACTGGAGCACTGGAAGGCAGTGTGCTGCTGTGTGTAACAAGTGATTATGTGGCATTAAACAGGAAATCAGCTGCTCCTTGTGCTGCTGCTGGTGAGGAGCAGGAGCAGGGGAATGGGTGAGGTGAGAGGTGTTAATGCTGGAATGTTCCCTGGGAGCCACTGCTGGAGCCATTCTGGAATATTGCACACAATTCCTGCCAGATCCATACAGGAAAATGGCTGGGAAATCCAGAATGCCCGTGGCAATGGGGCATNGGAATTTCAGACTCACTGGGCCCAAGAAGAGGATCTGTGTGGAGCTCCCCTCACGCTGTGCTTGGGACTGACTCAAACACAAAACTTGGGTTCCTTCTACAGTAACAGTGGCAGGTAAAGGGAACTCCGTGGCTTTTCAGGTTCTGAAGAGCAGATGATTCAACAGCAGGATGAATAAATAATGAAGGAAAGTGAGATTATAAATTGTACTTCCTCATTTGAAAGGCCTCATCTCCCGATCCATCATTATAAATGCGTTACAAACTCCGGGTCATTTACAAAATAATAGAACGCTTTAAGTTTACCCTTAGCTTTATGTAAATGTAACTTTAATATTCTATCTTCATTAATTATCTAATCTTGGGAGCAAATAAACTCCTGACACAATTCTGTAGCTATTTTGCCAGCAGGATTTCCTTTGAAGTCGGCGGCAGTTGTAAGAGGAAGTGGATGACAGGACTGAGCCTCACCAGCCCTTTTGGAAGAAAAGGAACTTACACAGTAGCTGAAAATCCAGACTTCCTATGGGCACAGAGCTATTCCTGCACTGCCACACGTTCATTAGTGCCAGAAAAGTGGCACTTTATTCCCGCTGCTCCTGTTCCAGAAGCAGGGAAGGGGTTTGCTCCCACCTCCTTCCAGTCCTGCTCTCCTCCCTTGGCTCCCAGCGCAGAGCCTGGCCCTGAATGAAGACCCAGCAGGCTCAGGGAGCTGCAGCTGGACCTGGTGTCTCTCTGTAGCTCTGTTTTCCCTCCAAAGCAGCTTTGCACCTCATCATTCTGGCAGGTGGGGCTGGGTAAGCTCTGCGGAGCAGCGGGAGCATCACCAACCCT